GAAAACATTACATTGCATAGTATAATCATGGTCAGTGCAGACATGTACTTGAACTTACTTTCTTATCGACTCTAACTGCTCCTTGCTAGTCCAGTCAGAGAAGTATAATAAAGATGATGTGCACTGTCTGACTCCAAGCACTGCTCGGTGTTCACAGCTGTCTGAGGAACTTCTGCCATTTCTTCTGCGATGACACTTCTCTCGGTTACTACAAAACATTGTTAAAAGACATCTGTGGCACATTTGAGAGAAATATTCTGTTATTCATGTATGTCTCTACATGCTAAGTGAAGAAGCAACTAAAGTTGAAACAAAACTGTGATTCTGTTTTGTTGTAGTCAGTTAAATGTGTTTTGGCAGTGGTGAGCACCTGTACACATAAGTCTGCTTACATTTAGCAACTGTAAAAGCAGGACACAGCTGCTGCAAATGATCTGAGACATATTAATATATATATTTGATTGCAGTACATTGTCATTGTAAAAATCACTGCAATTAGCTTATATAGGCTATTTAGTTAACAGATCATTTGAAAAGAACATTCTTCTAGAATTATTAAACTAATAGTACAAACAAATCCTCTTCACTCTAACATCCTTGAAGTAATTACATTCAGTTACATTCATAAAAATAAGAATGTGGAAACTAAAACTACAAACCTTTCTTCTTGTATGTGCTGGACCGTCATCATCCTCCTCTTCTTCATCTGTTTGTTTGCGGATCGGAGTGTTGTTCGTCAAAGTTTAGTGCAGCATAAACATTCTAGACTCACATAACTGTACTTACATCAAAGATTAAAAACATCTCGTTGATTTATTAGCTTTAGGTGGAGCATAACGAAAGTTTTCTGGCAAATCAGCATAAGTTACTGATTCGCACGCAAATGTAACCTTTTGCAAGTTTCATTATGAACTTGCTAACTAAAATACTAAAATATAAAAACTCATCTATGCTTACGATAAATATTTAATCAAAAGAATCCAATACATCCACATCTCTTGGTAAATAATCCATTGTGATTTGCTGTTATCACAGCCCAGAGCACAGCACAGCAGATTGACGGAATTGCAATTCGGTCCTACAAATGGCGGCCGCACCACTGTGTGACGTCACATGAAACCTATGAATAGCTCCATCATGCAGCAAATATGCATTTCTATCATTTAAACAAGTCTTTGGATACCTATTAAACATTTCATTTCATGCATTTCATGCACCTATTAATGCTATTTGATGACTGGTAAGATCTGGAAGTTCTCCTAGGTTCACAACACGGTCGTCCATAAAATGCATTGCTGTTCTGTTGTACAGATATGCTGCCTGACTAAATCTCTTGTCACATTGTGAACACTTGTAAGGTTTCTCTCCAGTGTGAATCCTCTCATGCAGTTTTAAAGTGTTTGCTGAAGTAAAAGTCTTTTCACACTCAAAGCACATGTAGTCTCTCACACCAGTGTGTGTTTTCTGATGTACTTTTAAACTTTCTAGACATGAAAAACTCTTTCCACACAAATAACATGAATGCCGCTTCTCATTTGTATGAATTCTCATGTGTTTCTTCAGGTCTGATTCGTGTGAAGCTCTTCCTGCACTGATCACATGTGTACGGTTTTTCTCCAGAGTGGATCCTCTCGTGTCTTTTCAGGTCTCCTGAATGAATTAATCTCTTGTCACAGTGTGAACACCTGTACAGTTTCTCTCCAGTGTGAACTCTCATGTGAACATTAAGACTATGTTTGCTTGTCAAACTCTTTCCACACTGAGTGCAGGTGAAAGATTTCTTGGCTCTTCTTTTCTTTAAATCTTTCCGTTTAGTTTGAGAGCAACTCGAAGGTTTTTCTCTACTTTTGACATGATTTTTCTCCTCAACTTCACTCAATTCTTCATTCTCCTCATTTTCTTCATTTAACTCTGAAATAAAAGTAAAAATGGTTTATTTTCAGTTAGTCATAAAAACAGAGAAATGTGAAAGGAGAAAAAAATGAACCCTGATGTAAACATTATATATATATATCTTTTTTTATGCATTTTTATAAATTATGTCTCTCTGAAATTTTAACTATTTGTATTATAGACACAAATCCCATGTTTCTACAGGGAGAACTATTAAATATGTTTGATCAACAACAAAAGAAAGTGTCTCTTATTATTTCTTCATTCTCCTCATTTCCTTCAATAAACTCTAAAATAAAAGCAAAATCAGTTCATTTGTCAGTAACTTGGGGAAAACAAAAAACAGAGAAATGTGAAAGGACATAAAAGTGAACCCTGGTGTAACAGTGTAAAGACGATTTCTGTACAAAAGTTTGTTCCTTTTTATGCAGTGTTATAAATTATACATCCCTGAAACTTTTCATGAAGAGGTACGCTGATCTTCAAAATATAATTTTTGAAACAGTATAGACACAAATCCCATCCCAGATAGCAAGCACACTCGGGCCGATTCCGGCTGAAATGCCGCACTGCCGGCTCAGTCTCGACGTCGGTGAGAAGATAATGGGCCAGAGCTGTGCCGACTCTACAAAACACTTCTGGCTGACAGACGGCTTTTTCTCTATGGGCCAATCTCGGCTGAAAGCTGTTGTACTTGCGGCAGGTCCACACTCGGTGTAGTTGTATTTACCTTCGGCCCGAGTTCGTTTTGATCACAGACAGGCTGCTGCTAGAATGAAGGAACTCATTCGAAGAGAAAGATTTGGCGGTTAAATCCTGAGGAGGTTTCAGCTGGCACAGTTTTAAAGAGGAATACTTCAGCTGCAAAAGGTAATTAATTAAATATATATATGTGGTTTGATGTTTTACATGTCACGAAGAGTAACGTTATAGTTTTTAGATGTTTCTGTTAGAAGGTTTGCGATGATAACATAACGTCAGAAAAACCATTCGGTCCGGAGATGGAGTGTTGATATCAGATAAATACGGTCTTTTTAGAGATTAGAAACATTGTGATTTTTGATAGAAAAAAATTGTTAAACTGTATCCAGTGCACGATAATGTCAACTAATGAAATTATACCGAGTTATATTCCAGTTTGCTAAAATTCAGTCTTTCAATTCGTCTTTCTCAACGAGTGATTGCTATTGAATCATATCGGACTGTGCTGGTGGCGCCATAAAAATCTATAGCTACTGGTGGCTCTGATTTAATTCACTTAACCTTTAAAAATAGTCATTTGTTTGTAAATCAAACTACACTGAGCATGCTGTTGTAGCGTTACACCTGCTAAGACAATTCAATATATGCAATATATATCTGAATTTAATAATAATATTTATTTTGTGGTTACACTGCCCGTGGGGAGCTCTGACACAGAAAAGCACTATAGATATGTAAGAGAAAGCCGTAAAATGTAAGTGCAAATTCTTTTGTTCTTGAATGGATGCCTAATCTGTCTGCTGCACTAGAGCAAGCTGTTTAGAGTGAACGAAAACTTTTAAAGCATATATGCCGCATAATGTGATTAAAATCACACTTAACATAATTACTGCTGTGGGGATTCGGATTGGATTATTATGAGCAAACAAATTTAAAAGTTTAATCTGAACGCACTTCATAATCTGACATCTTTTTTTTTCTTTTTTTTTTTTATACAGAAATTCTGAACTGCTGCATGAACTCGTGCATGAACATTCATCAAACAAGTAAGGTGAAAATTCTGGGTCTGGTTCTAATCCTAATGCTTAAGATTTAACAATTACCTTACAATATATATTTATACATATATTGCTATATTTCAAGGATTTCAAGAATTTGGAAAAACCTTCAGGCTAATGCTGCTGAAATGGAGGTCATGGGGACCATGAAGAGGCGACTCCAACTGGCAGATCATACCGTTTTTCAGGGTACTCACACTGTGAGTTTAAAAGTCCCATCTCTTTAACCCTGCATACACATGACACACTATCACATTTCTATCATTCAAATTCCTTAAAGGGGTCATATGATGTTATTTTAAAGATCATTATTTTGTGTATTTGGTGTAACAGAACATGTTGACATGATTTAATGTTCAAAAAACAATTTTTTCAAATACTGTACATTATTGTAGTTCCTCTGTGCCCCGCCTCTCTCAAATGCGACATAACTTTATAATCTGACATTTTTTTTTTTTTTTTACAGAAATTCTGAACTGCTGCATGAACTCCTGCATGAACATGAATCAAACATATAAGGTACGAATTCTGGGTCTGGTCCTAATCTTAAGATTTATCAATTACCTTACAATATATTTATATAAATATTCCTATATTTCAAGGCTGCAATTTGGAAAAACCTTCAGGCTAATGCTGCTGAAATGGAGGTCATGGGGACCATGAAGAGGCGACTCCAACTGGCAGATCATACCGTTTTTCAGGGTACTCACACTGTGAGTTTAAAAGTCCCATCTCTTTAACCCTGCATACACATGACACACTATCACATTTCTATCATTCAAATTCCTTAAAGGGGTCATATGATGTTATTTTAAAGATCATTATTTTGTGTATTTGGTGTAACAGAACATGTTGACATGATTTAATGTTCAAAAAACAATTTTTTCAAATACTGTACATTATTGTAGTTCCTCTGTGCCCCGCCTCTCTCAAATGCAACATATCTACAAAGCCCCTCCTTCCGACAAGCACAGTCTGCTCTGATTGGCCAGCTGACCCAGTGCATTGTGATTAGCTGAACACCACAACCACGCTTCGGAAATGTAACGCCGTTTTCTAGGGCTGGACCAGAATATTTGATTATTCGAATATTCGTTCGGTGGGTTGGCATTCGATTTAAAATTTTGAGATTCGAATATTCTTTTTTTTCCCCCTAACAGATGGCAACCCCCCCCCCGAAACGGTTCTCATTCGCCCTTGAATATGAATTGCCCATGAGTGAACGTCATGAGCACTTTAAATTGAGTGAGGACAAGACAAAGGCAGTGTGCCAAATATGCGATTTGAAATGGCCTACCATAACAGCACATCAAGTTTGAAAAATCACTTCTGTAAGTTGTAGGCTATGCCTATAGTATATTGTTGGTGTAAAAAAAAAAAGCAACGGAACTCCGCCCCTTGAGGAAACGGAGCTTGGCCCGCGACACTGAGATGATCATCTTCCCGCAATGAGACTGGTCTCTCTAAGCGAGATCCCAATTCATCGGTCATCCGACGTGACGTCGAGAGTGACCGACTGAAAGGGAACTGCTTTTATCCGACATGTTAATCAGTA